CTGTATTTATGTATGTATGTGTGTGTGCGCGCGTGCGTGTTCGTGTGTGTGTTTATGTGTGTGTGTCTGTGTGTGTATATGTCTGGGTGTTTATGTGTGTGTATGTGTGTGTGTGTGTGTGTGTGTGTGTGTGTGTGTGTGTGTGTGTGCGCGCGTGCGCGCTCGCACGTTTATGAAAGCGTTTCTGTCTGAGTTAGAAGTGTTGGACTGACTGATAAAACGTATCACGTCTCATCAAACTATTCTCACATTCTTACATTCATCCTCCCCTCCCCACACACCAGGGGCGTGGCGTCACTTCCAGAGAAGGTGGCGCCAAGAAGAAATGTATGCACAACGAATAGTATTGCCTACTTATTACTGGCCTATAAACTGTAGACCTACTATACGCCTCTGTGTTTAATTTTAATACTGATACAGGGACACCTACTTCCATGGGAGAAGAATAGATATGTGTCGGTACAATCGGTTACATATAGAGAGAACTGATGATAGAAAACCAAGTTCGGCGCTCAAGATGCGCACAATGACATCACATCATAATTGTTCACAGACAAAACAATAACATCTCACGGATCAACAGAAACGCACACATTCACAGGCAAGAACACGCATGCACTATTGCCCTAGGGGAGTCTTGACATAATGACCCCATTCCCTGATTCACTTGCAGTTCTGGTTTCTAGAAAGCAGACAATAAAACCAACTTTTAGACAGTTCGCAACCATACCATGTCCAGGCTAACTACCGCTCCGTCTCCCTCCCTAATCATACAGGCGCCAAAATCCATCTTGGCCTAGGCTTTCTCAGTTCCTTGGCCCTTTGGCCCAACAGTACAATCTCTTAGTGTGATGGCAGTCCCTGTTGTAGAATTTTTGACTGAGTTATGTTCTTGGTGATATCTCTTGTGTCTTCCGTCAAACGTCTGGATGGGAAATTAAAGAAACGTTTTTGCTATTCTTGAACAGAAAACCTTGTTTTCAACTGATTGAATCAAATAGTTTACAGATCATTTTGAATTATTTTGACCAGACTTCACACCTAAACAATGAACACCCAGTTGGGTTCACGCAGAGACACTGGTTGAGGCAGCGCCTAGGCTTTTATGACCGTCTAGGGTAGCGCCGAAGCGCCGATCTGGGCTCGGCACCTTCGGAGACGTCAGACTCAGACGTAGGGAACGAAAGACGCGGGGAGACTCTTGCGACCGGCAGCGGGAGGCTTACCCTGGGCTTACCCACCCTCTTCCCACTAGCCTAAGTATAGACACCTTAACTAAAGACTGGCGTACTTAGGGATGAACATTGAATAATAGATTTGTTTGGGAAAAAAATTGTGATATTTAGTTAAGTTTTGGAAAATCGTATTCCTTTTTTGAAAATCCCTTCTCCATTTCAAAGGGTGGCGCCATGGCGCCATTTGCGCTTGGAGAGCCACGCCACTACCACACACACACACATCGCATCCACCCCACCCCCTCCCTCACACTCACACACACGACTGCAACCACATCAACACACACTTCCCACTACCTCCCCAGGACGGAATGATTCCCCTATTCATGGCCCTGGAGTCTGGCAACATCCCAGTGGTCAAGGAACTGCTGATCCATCAGACCGGACCACAGATTATCTCCAGGCGACATGTAAGTATCGGGCTCTTCGTATCTCTTTTTGTTCTCTATGACTTCAAATCTGAACACCGGCACGTATGTAATAATAATAAAAATGATAATAATAATAAT